GGATCCATGATGAAGGATATGATAAGAGTGAGGGGGAGAGAGACAGACAGAGGGAGAGAGAAGAGAAAATTATCTTATGTCTCCTCTTTTTTCCCTCCTCTCTTTATTAGGTGTTTGCTCAGTTAAAGGACATTTTACCATCACTCGTTATTCATTTGATAGAAGCCAGTCCAACCATGAGACACCACCAAAGAGAGACTCTAACAGATTTACCACAACAACAACAACAACAACAACAACAACAACAACAACAACAACATGGTATAGTCAGTGTTATGCTGATGATGTTAACCAGGAGACATGTTAACAACATGATTTATTGTTTAGTGAAAATAGTAATGCAATGATTACTAATAACTGTATGTTATTGATAATAATAACTATGTCTTACTCTTGTATTAGATATTGAAGGGAAGGAGAGTGAAAGCATCCAGTTGAGCAATGGTATTGATGTCCATTGGCATTCATCTCTAACTAATGTACCCTATGGTAATAGTTATTTTTTGTTTATTTATTTATTCATTTATTTATTTATTTGTAATTGTAGGCTTTAATTATTTCATTGCTCACGAGTTTTTTGATGTACTGCCGATTCATCAATTCATTGTTAGTGGATGTCGTGTGCTTCATTAATTGCCTATTCATAGGATATTGGGAAAAATGAGTGGAGAGAGATATTTGTTGATATTGAAACTGAAACAAAGTAAATAGATGCTAATGTATCGTGTATATAATGTTTGTAAATAGATCCTTGAAATTTGTCAAATCACCAAATCCCACACCAGCTTCACTGGCATATACACAAGTAAGAGGGTGGGAAGTATTTTTATGTATATATTTTCTTTTAGTTACTAGGTGGTGGGTATAAGGAGTTTGAGGTGTGTCCTGATGGTTTATTAATCATTGAGGAAGTATCAAGACGTGTGAAGACTAATGGAGGGGGAGCCCTAATTGCCGACTATGGAGACGTGGAAATAAAAGATTTCACTTTTAGAGTAACTTAATAAAGATAATAATAATAATAGTTATTGGTTGGTTAGGGTTACAGTGGTCACAGGCAAGTTGACGTCCTCTC